ATGATGAATTAAAAGAGATGAACAGAAGATTTCAGAGGGTAGCTCGAGAAGACAGAGTATTAAAATGAAATGTGCAAAGAGCTGGAGTTAGAAAACCTAAAGGGAAAACACACTCAGCATATCTCAAGCTGAAAGAACTGAAGAAACAATTCAAGCCTCAAGTTGCAATATTGAAGAATTCTATGGGCAGTGTTTCGTTCTGTTGTACATAGGGTCGCTATGAGTTGGAACCCACTCAACAGCACCTAACAATAACAACATGGGCAAAATATTGAACAATACAAGAAGCATCAAAAGCACATGGAAGGAATATACAGTCAGTGTACTCTGGTTGACATTCAACCATTTCATGAGGTAGCATATGATCAAGAATTGATTGTATTGAAGGAAGAAGTCCAAGCTGCACTGAAGACACTGGCAAAAAGCAAGGCTCCGGGAATTGATGGAATACCAATTGAGATGTTTCAACAAATGGATGCAATGCTGGAAGTACTTGTGTATGCCAGGAAATTTGGAAGACAGCTACCTGGCCGACTGACTGGAAGAGATCTGTATTTGTGCTCATTCCAAAGAAAGGTGATCCAACAGAATGTGGAAGCTTTCAAACAATATCATTAATCTCACACACAATTAAAATTTTGCTGAAGATAATTCAAAAACGGTTGCATCAGTACATCCACAGGGAACTGCCAGAAATTCAAGTTGGATTCAGAAGAGGACATGAAACGAGGGGTATGATTGCTGATGTCATATGGATCTTGGCTTAAAGCAGAGAACACTAGAAAGATATTTACCTGTGTTTTATCAGCTATGCAAAAACATTCGACTGTGTGGATCGTAACAAGTTATGTATAATATTACAAAGAATGGGAATTCCAGAACACTTAATTGAGCTTGTGCAGAACCTGTACATAGACCAAAAGGCAGTTGTTTGGACAGAACAGAGGGATTCTGCATGGTTTAAAACCAGGAAGGGTGTGCATCAGGGTTGTATCCTTTCACCATGCTTATTCAGTCTTTATGCTGAACAAATAATTTGAGAAGCTGGACTATATGAAGAAGAACGGGGCATCAGGATTGGAGAAAGACATTAACAACCTACGTTATGCAGATGACACAACCTTGCTTGCTAAAAGTGAAGAGGACTTGAAGCACTTACTAATGAAGATCAAATACTACAGCCTTTAGTATGGATTACACCTCAACAGAAAGAAGACAAAAATTCTCACAACTGGACCAGTAAACAACATCATGATAAATGGAGAAAATATTAATGTTGTCAAGGATTTCATTTTACTTGACTCCGCAATCAACACTCATGGAAGCAGCAGTCAAGAAATCAAACAACCTATTGCATTGGGAAAATCTGCTGCAAAAGACCTCTTTAAAGTGTTAAAAAGCAAGGATACCACTTTGAGGACTAAGGCACGCCTGACCCAAGCCGTGGTATTTTCAGTTGCCTCATATGCATGTGAAAGCTGGACGATCAATAAGGAAGGTTGAAGAAGAAATGATGTCTTTGAATTATATATAGTGTTGGTGAATATATCATGGACTGCCAGAAGAATGAACAAATCTGTTTTGGAAGAAGTACACCCAGAATACTCTTTAGAAGCAAGAATGATGAGACTTCATCTCTTGTACTTTGACTATGTTATCAGGAGGGACCAGTCCCTGGAGAAGACACCATGCTTGCTAAAACAGTGTGTCAGCAAAAGAGAGGAAGATCCTCAAGGAGATAAATTGACACAGTGACTGCAACAGTGGGCTCAAGCATAGCAAGGTGGATAGCACAGGACCAGGCAGTGTTTTATTCTGTTGTTTGTAGGGTCACAATGAGTCGGAACCAACAACATAACAGCCATAGATTAGACTTGAGTGTAGTAATGTCCTTTCTGTTTTCAGGTTATATTTTATATTTCTTGAAATTAATATATCTTTGAGTTCCCCAAACCATGTGATCTCAATGGAATGATCATAAAGCAGCAATCATAGTCTGGTTAGTCTTTTATAGGAAATACTGCACTATTAGTATGACTGTAAAGTCTTTTTAAACATTTCGGTCTCCCAACAATCATGCTTCTGATAAGCCTTATGGTCTGTGATATCACATTGTTGAGTGAATTGTGGTAGAGGCAGTAGAATGAAATAGCTAAGAATATAATGGAGCCAGACTACCTGAACTTAAATACAGTTCTATTTACTAGCTGTGTAACCTTGGGCAAGTTACTTACCTTCTCTGTACTTCAGTTGCTTATAGAAATTTGCAACAATAGCAATATCCACCTTTTAGGATTATTAAGAGGATTAAATGAGTTGATGCATGTAAAGGTACTTAAAACTTGTGCCTGGCATATGGTAAGCATTATATAAGGGTTGGCATGATGCAGATGGTGCCCTGGTGGTGCAGTGGTTAAAGAGGTTGGCTGCTAACCAAAAGGTTGGCAGTTCGAATCCATCAGCTGCTCCTTGGAATCCCCATGGGGCAGTTCTACTCTGTCTTATAGGGTCGCTATAAGTTGGAATTAACTCAGCAGCAGCAGGTTTGGTTTTGGGTTTATGATGGAGATGATGATGATAATGCAGCAGCAAATACTTCATTTAACAAGTTAATTAACTGCTTATTATGCCATTATGTATTAAGGATTTTACTTAAATGTTAAACTTTGGTCAGAAGAATAATTGTATAATTACTTTCATAAATGTACTTTAGTAAAGAAAACAAAAGTATTTTGTAGAAAGTTTAAAATCACAAAGTAAATAAAATGAACTTGTAATCCAGGTACCCTGGGTTAACATTCTGATGTATCAGCTCAGGTCCTTTTCTTATGCAAATTCCCCTTAAAAATTGTATCATTTTGAGGTACCATTTTATCACTTGCTTCTTCCTCTGTTTATCATACATATTCTTTTTCATGCCATAAATATTCTTTAACAACTTCATTTTTAATGACTGCATGGTTATCCCATATATTGATGAAATAAATTTTATTTAACTTGTTTACAATTCTTGAAAATTTAAGTTGTTTCCATTTTTTTGCTATCACGATCCGTGAAGCAACATGCATCATCGTAAGTATATTATTGCATATCTCTCTATTTCATTAAGATAAATTCCCAGGAGTAGAATTGTTGGAACAACAGCTTTGAAGAATTCTGTTGTCTAAAACTGCCTTCCACAAAGCTTGTACCAACTTACACGTCTTAGTATGAGAGTGCCAGATTCCTTACATCCTCACGGATGCTGGATTTTATAATATTTAAGATTGCTTTTGCCAATTTGATAGTTGGAAATGGTATCTCATTTTTATTTGTATACCTTTTTTATTTAATACTATTAACAGTCATTTTTTGTTTTATACATTAATTAAATACTTCAGTCAACTGGCCTCAGAATCCAATTTTGGTATAAACTTTCGGTTCCAGCTTTCGTCTTTTGAGACCTGTAAGCAAATGTGTAATCATCTGTTTAATACCAGATAACAGATTACATCTGTTTAATACCTGCCTTCTGAAATGATACTAAAGCCTATCTTTCTTTTTGTTTTTTTTCTTTTTAAAGAGTGGAACTTGCCTATGATGTGAATTTTCCTCTGTTATCTCTTTTGATGGTATTTAGCCAAGCATAGTTGAGAACAAAGTCTATTCCTTATGTAATTTTTTTATTCCTTACACAAGCATCTAATACTGTGGATAGATGGAGACAAGCGATCAAATGAACAAATATGCATTCAGAACCACAAGAAAAGTTGCATGTTGTATGGAAAGGCAACGTATTTGTGACCCAGGTTAAAATCAGTTCTGTCGCAGTTCTACTATTCACTTGTCTTATGACCTTGGCAAGCCGTTTAATCTCCCTGTGCCTTAGTTTCCAGTGTCTTTAATGTAAATCCTCTTTTTATGCCTTCTCCCTGCCATTACCTTACTTCAGTTCTTTTCACCTCATGCCTAAACTGTAAACTACTGTAAATTTTCATCACTGCCAACCCTAATGCTCTTTCCTTCATTCATTCCTTTCACACTGTCATCTAGTTAATCATAATGCAGTATGATTTTCATCACATCATTCCTCTGCTTGGTAGATTTTTAACAGTTCCCCTTGGTGTGTAGAAGAAATCCAACCCCCCTATTCATCCAGTTGCCCATCTCTCTATTTTTGTTTACAGTATTCTCTCATCCAACAGTTTGAACAGTTTTAAGCAAGGGAGTGACATGATCAGATTTGCATTTTTAAAAAATCTTCAAATTTACAGGTATCTGGTCTCAAGTACGTAACAGTTTTAGAATCAGTCAAATATGTATAGCTTTTAGATAACTTTTGCTGACAAGTATAATTAGAAAGGAATTAGGCAGCCTGGACCCCTAATTATTTAGAGTGGAGAATAAAATAAAGGAAGGATTTAAATACCCTTTTAAGACTTCTAACTCAACTGGATAACTCTCTTAAAAGCTGTTGTTATACTTTATATTACTTGGGAAAGATGATTCTTTACTTTGTTCTTTTAGTAAAATTAAGAAGTGATAAATGTTAGTGATAATGTTATGTGATAAAAATTTTCAAAAACTATTACACAAGAAGGGAGCCCTGGTGGCACAATGATTAAGCGCTCAGCTGCTAACCGAAAGGTTGGCTGTTCGAACCCACCAGCCACTGTACAGGAGAAAAGACCTGGTGATCTGGATTACAGCCTAGGAAACTCTATGGGACAGTTCTGCTCTGTCATGTAGGGTGGCTATGAGTTGGAATCGACTCATCGACACACAACAACAACTACGCAAGATGTTTATATCCTTATTTTGTTATAGGATTTGCCATTAAGTTTTGAAAGCTGAGACTAGTAATTGCCATGACTTATATAAATCAAGATGTTAAATATAATTGTCATAGATTTATTAATCAAAGTAATTTAATTAGATTTACTAACAAAATACAAATGTTGCTTTTAATAATTTGAATTAAATTTTCATGCACATTTGCTAATTTGGGCCTTTTCTTACAGTTAACCCAGTCTCCACTCCAGTTGCTCTTCCCACACCTGCTCTGTCTCCAAGCTTGATAGCTGATCTTGAAGGTTTAAATTTGTCAGCTTCTTCATCAGTCATCAATGTAAGTTTCAAAATACATTAGCTCAGTTTTCAGATGATGCCTTTGCATCTTTTTTATTAAACTACAAATAGTTGAAATGGATTCTTAGTTTTGAATAGTTCTTTTTGTAACAACAAGCCTTATTCATATATGACATTTTAATTTTGTAAATAGTTTGAAAATTTGCTCTCTCTTCAAACCCTTATCTTCTCAACTTATTTAATTATTACATGTACATTTTTCTCTGGTACTGTCATATCTGTAACATACAAGGGCTCTTTGCCCCATTGAGTTAGTTTATTTACATATTTTGTCATAAAGCATTGTTGTCTACAATAACAGACTTTTATTCCCATAATCATTCTCTTTCTACTATGCTGTTTTTTCACAATAGGCTGTTAAAATATGTGACTGTTCTCATTTGAAAATCTAAGGTTGCATTTCTGTTTGCATCATCTTCATACTCTGATTTACATGCCTTCTTGTCGTAGGTGTCCTTGAATCTATTGTCAGCTCATAGTGACCCCATGTGACGGAGTAGAACTGCCCCATGGCATTTTCTAGGCTGTAATCTTTATGGGAGCAGATCTCCAGGTCTGTCTCCCGCGGACCAGTGTCTCTTAAAAAATTATTTAATGTTATATATAGGGTGTGACTTGAAGAGAGGCAAAAGGTCTGCCTATCACAAAATAATGCCCAAACTCTCAGCTTGTCATAGTGTCTGAAACTGCAATAACTTTTTCTGTGTTAGCATATTATATCCATAACCTTTCACTCTAAATCAAGCATGCTGCCTAGATATGCTTGACCTCCTATTAATTTGTTGTCAGAAATCTGACAAACTACGAGATAGAACAGTAAGTTTTGATGGGAGTCAGGTAGCTTGAATAGGTCTGCGGTATTAAATGGTTCCCAGGGCTGCTGAGGCACTGTAGGGTACATAATTGGTGATCCGAGATGCTGATAGAGCTGCTTCTGCCAAAAGTGAGAAAGAGAAATACCTACTCTTTATATGTTATTAGAAAAAATTTCCCCTTCAAAGCGAATATGTTATTGGGGCGTGCAATGAAATACTAAGAAGAGCTGGATACGTTTCTATTTGCTGTGATCCACATGTCTACAAAATACAGGTGAAAACTATTCAGTTTATTATGTTCTTTTTAAGTGTGGAATTAGATTCTCTCTTACCCACTCAGAGATGAGTAAGAACAGTTTGGGGGTTTTAGTTTACCCTTCTTGTTTCCAAAAGGAAAAGGCTCATTAAAAAGGGCAGAGGGGGCAGTGAAACTAAGTAGTTAAGTCTTTCATTCATTCAACTAATAAATATTTGTTGAGTATTTGTGGGGGCTCTAAAGAGAAAGTAGTGATCAAAAAATCTATATGAAACAGTTCCTAGAAGGGAGTAGGAAGCCCCTAAGAATTTGGGAGGCAGTAAGTTTGTAGATACATAACAACTTGGGCTCTGATATCAGATGCCCAGGGTGCAAATCCCTGCCCTGTCACTTACTAGCTATGGTAAGTAAATTGATAAGTAACTTTTCTGCACCTCAGTTTCTTATGGGGATAATATGTACCTCATAGGATTGTTGTGAGATTAATGAGATAATACAAGTAAAACTTAGAACAGTGACTAGCACATTGTTATCACACAGTACATAGTAACTAATATTTTCAGAAGTGATATATGTGAAAATGGACCCTGAGTAGACATTTATACTTTATTACCTATAAGAAGAACGCAGTTGAGATTAGAAAAGCTGATAGTAAATTTTCATTCCTCACAAAGGAATTAAGAAACTCACCCTTTTACTATGAAAAGCATTTATTAAGGCAGTTTCTTCAAAAGAAAAGAAAAACACTCCATCCAAAGAATGGGCACAGAAGGACTACCAGGTAGTGATGACCGAGTGAAGCAGGATCACCACATTCGTCTCCTAAAGGATAACAGAATGGTTTAAAAAAAAAAAAAAAGTACTAAAAAGAATGGCAGCCAAAAATTCACCAGAAACCAAACAAGGAAAGAAGTCAAACTTAAGGAAAAAGGTAGAATTTTTAAAAGTGGAATTTACAGAAAATAAATTGAAAAGTCTGGTGCAGAATTACATGACTCCTACTTCCACCTCCAGCCCTCAAAAAAAAGTACCAAGAAAAGTAGGTGAATCAGCCAAATTACAGTTTTTCTCATTATGCCTAAAAATTTGGAGAGAAGTAAACTAAAGACCTCAAAGGAAAAATAAAATTAAAAACCTCAAGAATTAGAAGTCCCTATACGTCATTCTGGAAACCCTGGTGGTGTTGTGGTTAAGAGCTACAGCTACTAACCAAAAGGTGGGCAGTTCGATTCTACCAGGCGCTCCTTGGAAACCGTATGGGGCCGTTCTACTGTGTCCTCTAGAGTCGCTATGAGTCGGAATTGACTCGAGGGCAACAGGTTTGGTTTGTTTTTGTTTTTGTTTTTGTTTTTGTTATACATCGTTCTGTTGTACATAGGGTCTCTACGAGGCAGAACCAACTTGACAGCACCTAACAACAACAATATAACGTAACGGGGACAGTGGTGGTTCAGTGGTAGAATTCTTGTCTTCTATGCCAGACGCCTGGGCTTCATTCCTAGCCAGTGCACCTCGTGCACAGCCACCACCTGTCTGTCAGTGGAGGCTTGCACGTTGCTATGATGCTGAACAGGTTACCATGGAGCTTCCAGACTAAGATGGACTAGGCAGAAAGGCCTGACCATCTGCTTCTGAAAATCAGCCAGTGAAAACCATATGGATAACAACTGTCCAGTCCACAACCAATCATGGAGATGGCACAGGACCGGGCAGCATTTCATTCTGTCGTGCATGGAGTCACTGTGAGTTGGGGGCTGACTCGACAGCAGCTAACAACAACAATATAACATTACGGAATCTCAACAAATATAGGAGCCTTTTTGGATTCTGCAATGAAATTCGTAGATAATAGAGTAAATGGAGCCCTGGTGGCACAGGGTTTAAGAGCTTGGATGCTAACCAAAAGGCCAGCAGTACTAATCCACCAGCCACTCCTTGGAAACCATATGGGGCAGTTCTGCTCTGTCCTGTAGTGTCACTATGAGTCAGAATCGACTTGAAGGCAACGGGTTTGGTTGGGTTTAGAGTAAATTCATAATTTAAAAACCAGTGTGGCACTCTAATTGAATAGAAAGGAGAAATAAAAGTAATTTATAATAAAGCAATATTTACATTGATATGTAATTGCCTAAAGACATAATGAAGTAGTTAAATGATGTTTGCAGTCATATGTAGAACTACTATGAATGTGGCAACCATAAATACAGACTGATATAGACATATTGGCAACTCAAACACGATGAGTTATGGTGTTGCTATCAGTGGCATAATTTTCCAAAACATTGAATACTTTTTCCGGACCCCAAGTAGTTGCATTCCTGGAAAATTGAGTGTATTAAAACTTTGCAAAAATTGCTTTGTGTTTATATATAAAACAGAGTTAGATTCTAGGATGAGATAATTTTAAACAAGTTTTCACGTCATGAGTGGCCAACAAGACATTTAAAAGTTGTGAGGGACATGGCATAAATCTTTATTGTATGGGTCTGCCCTGTTCATTGCAGGACATCTAGCACCCCTGATCTCCATCCCCTAAATGCTAGTAGCATCCTTAACTGTCCCTCCCTCCGGTCATGTGGTAACCTTAAACATTCAGAGCAGTACAGTATAGTTAAAAGCACAGGCTCTTGAGCCAAACCATCTGTGTTTAAATCATGGCTCTGCCACTTTACAAAATGAGTGACCTTGGGCAAGTCATTTTACTTCTTGGTGCCTCAGTTTTTTTATCTGTAAAATAGAGATAAAAATGCTACCTACCTCATAGGGTTGTTGTTAGTATTAAATGAGTTAACATACATTTATATGCTCATAACAGTACATATTAAGCACTAAGTAAGCATTTGTTATTATTTTTTATTACATTATTATTACCACTTTGTAAACAAAAGAAACTGTGACCCAAGAAAAATGTTATTTGTCTACTGTAAAGGCTACAGATAGTCTCAAGCATGAAAAAAATAACTATGAGTCTTTTGTTAAAAGAGGGGGAGGATGGGGACACTGATCATTGTTGAACTCAATTAAAGGATGATTCAAAGTAGTAGAATCAATACCTATGAAATTATGGTCACAGAATTGGTGTAAATGATAAAAATAGAATAAACAACCAAAATTAGGATCAGGGGAGAAGATGGGAGATGTGTGTGTTAATCATTTCATTTTTTCATAGTAAGAAAGTAATAATACTTAAAATTAAAAAAGCTTTTATTTTTGTTCTTTAATGAAATTCCAACTTCTTAATGGTTTTCATATCCTCAAAAAACATTTATCTGAAGTTTAGGAGTTTTTTTAATGTAATTTCTTTTCCTTCAATTAAATTAAAGTAAAATTATAATCTTGTTCTTATGGAATAATTTTATTTATTCTTCTGTGTATCTGTTTGCCATCCATGCTTACAGAGTGTCACATTCCCCATGGTTAAAAGTAGTTATTTTGTTGTTATTAGCTGCGGTTGAGTCAGCCCCAACCAATAGTGACCTCATGCACAACAAATGAAATGCTGCCTGGTCCTGCACCATCCCTGTAATTGGTTGCGGATTGGACTGTTGTAATTCATAGGGTTTTCATTGGCTGATATTCAGAAGTAGATCATCAGGCCTTTCTTCCTCCTCCATCTTAGTCTAGAAGCTCCACTAAACCCTGTTCAGCATCATAGCAACAGGCTAGCCTCCACTGACAGGCGGATGGTGGCTGCACATGATGTACACTGGCTGAGAACCAAATCTGGGTCTTCTGCATGGAAGGTGAGAATTCTGCCACTGAACCACCCCTGCCCCCACTGTAGTTGTTTTAACTGTTGTGGTTTTTAGATGACTTGTTGCTTTCTTTTTTGTACTTTTCTATGATGTTCAAGTGTTTTATAATAAATACTAATTAACTTTTTAAAATAACATAATTATTACTATAAAA